AGTAAAGGAAGGAAGAATTAGTTCATAGAAAGAAAGATATGAAGCGATTTTAATCTCTTAGTTTAAGGGAATACAGAGTGTATACACCGACGCCATTGTGATCGATTCTGAGCCATGCCACACAGAGTCTCCAACTATTAGTTACGACAGTCACATGGACCCCAACCAAGTAGTCTGCATCTACCAACATGGCTCAGACCAGAAGTTAGTGACTTCAAGCACTGATGCCATGTTTTGGTTTGGCCGCCCCTAACTTTATTACAACCATCCCCTACACTAGTCAGCATTACTTCCATCAGCAATCATTAATAAGACACATGTCGCAAGTTATAACAGTTACACGCTTGGTTACTTACTGTGGAACCTGGTCCTTATGATTATGTTTTCTGTTTTTAAATATCCCATCGAATTATGCTTCATAGGACTCTCATAATGTACAGAAGGGTTTTCTAAAGCTTAATAGCTTTCCAATCTATATAATCTTGAGTTGTGAACCATCGTGTACTTATCTTTATTGATTGGTTTCGAATGATACTGACGACTAGAATAAAGCTGAATAATAGTTGAGTAAGTGTGTAAAAGTTCACTGAGTTTCTGTCCTCATAATTACACCCATAGAAAGGACTTTATTAATTTGCATGGAAGAGAAAACCATTTACAAGTTATGAATGATTTGATATAAATTTTCTAATATATCTAAGATATCAGAAGAGGAAAAAAAATCAGAATGAAAAATTAAGTTACTAAGCAATACAATTTTTTGAATACTCTATACACTTAATATCAGGATTCATTCGACAGACAGCAATAAATTCTCACATTATACTTAAACTTCAGTGTAAACAATTTAAGGAGATATCTAAATCTTATTATTCACATTGTGTTACAAAGATTCTGAAATAAACTTGTAATCTTTTCATTTAAAACATGTGGTTATGTAACTGTAAAGTATAGTTCTTACGAAACAGAATACCATGATCAGTATAGGGTTGTGAAGATTATTAAGTTTTTGATGGAGATCATGAACTGATTGATGTAATACTACCATTGAAAAGCTGGAAGCACTGGATGGCCATTTCGTCCTGTTGTGGAACTCCTTGGCAGTGGGCATCCACGATACCGCTTGCTTCCAGGTTTTCAATGGTGGCCTAACATCAATCAGTTACATGATCTCTATCAAAAACTTGGTAATCTGCACAACCCTATACTGATAATTACCATGTACTCACTAGTGACTAACTTCATGACGGAATTCTAGTGAGAAGCCGTGACCAGTGGAGCTAATCCGTGTCGGGTAGAGACAGGTATATACCTCAGTACAATGGAAGATGGTTGCGCAATTTCGTGGACTGGTTGAGGTCAAACATTAACACCGTCGGATGCCGACTCAGTGGTATGGAGGTTGTGTTAGTGAGCGAGACTGGAGGCCCCGGATTCGAATCCCAAGGGCAGGATCATAGATTTGCATTGCTGAGGAGTCCTAAGATAGGAAGACACGGTCGTCCAATGCTTCCAGACTTTCAATGGTGGTCTAACATCAATCAGTTCATGGTCTTGATCAGAATACTATGAACTGTTATTTCAAACTTATTTGTGTGGATAGTTTATGATTACAAAATAACTCAAAGTGTATATTTTCTTGGTATAACAAAATTATTTCTATACAATTTGGATATCTTTCTATACTTTAAGATTGTTGATTTCTGAAGAACATCGTAATAGAATCTCAGTAAATCAGTGAAAATGGTCTCTTCATTAGTTTATTGTAAAAAAAGGACTTATAATCTATAATACTATATTCGATCAATTAGTATTATCGATCACATGAAATAAATATACAAATGCGCAAACTGAAAATGAACTTATATTAAATCATTACTTTCATGAGATTAGTAGAAACTGATCTATTTTCGGCATTGTAAAACATGTTTTTTAGTTGCATTAAAGTATTAAGGTTCACTCAATTTAGTTCGGGAATATAGTGTATATGTACATGTGGTTTATATGTAAGCCGTAATATATTGAATGATATAGAATGAACTTGATTATATATTATTTAGTTAAATATTTTTTTTACCTTCCCACGTTTTTTACTCATTTCAGTTTTGTTCGCTCATACCAGTTATTCATTTTGTTGATGATTTTTAAAAGTATGAATAATTGCAGTGGTGCTGACATTCTTTGGGGACTAACAATCGAAATTCATAAATTTTTGATTGGTTAGTGTGAGAAGGCCTCATTACATACTTCTCTGGATGCTTCAGAAACCACTACAGAGAGAAAATTCTTTCTCAAAGATTTGAACTGTGTACTTCATACAATAAGCTGAAATAAATAGGTTCAAAGTATTACTTTAAAAGTCTTCAAGATCTGTGGATGTCAGCTTATTACAAAAGGTTATTGTGAACGAACAAAACATTGGAGACATATTTATTGAGATACGTTTTAAAAGTAACTTTTTGACACACAAATTTAAACTATACGCTTACTTCAAAAGACACCATGATCTTGGGTGACTTTTGCTCTGATATATTCAGGGTAAGACATTGTGATGCGGAAAAGGTGGGTTATGACTCTCTCAATGTGGTTAGATGATTCATCATTATCTAATAGAGAAAAAAACAGCAAGATATCTGAGATGGTACCATGGATCCGCTCTTGAAGGCTGACATTGATTAATACCGACCTTCAGTCGCGTCAGACATGTCGCAGATCAGCAGACATTGTAGGATTATGTAATTTCCACATACTCCTTGGAACTGTATAGTTTTTGTTTCAGTGGAGATTCATAGCGTGGTAAAAGCTAGTCATGATATGGGGCTTCGGTCGGCTTCTGAAGCATGACTAGGGACTGGCCTGGAACGGCCGAAGCTCATGAGAACGTGTAGTTCCTAGTCCTTTTGCCAAAGAGTTGTTCAGTCTTGTCTCATGGGGGTACAAAAGAAGTTAGGGAGGTTATTCAGTCATAATCTAAATGTCTTCATTGAGTCGCTGTGAAAAGATCATTTATTGGTAGCTCTTTTGATTGACAGTTAATGTATGGCATCAGTACTGTTAATTAAGTCCGTTATTACAATACTTCTAATAGCAAGGGAAACGATTCCTCTGAGCTGTGGAAAACAAAATGAAAAAGTGGAGAGTAAATTGGTTGAAGGGATTAGATTGTTCATAAGCAGGTCTAGTTGTCATGTTCATGATTCTATTAACAATCCGTCCGATGAATTATGTGGTAAAAAATCACTCAGTATGCATGTTTCGTTTGGTAAAGACTGGCGCAAGTTTTAGGGCTATTGATACTTCTTTCGTTATTTGGAAGCCGCTAATATCCAGAGTCTATAGAAGTGTACGGGTAATTTTCCTCCAACTGGTTAAACTACATCCATGTAGATATTACCTACGAACTCAACTTTTCTAGTTCGACGAGAGATTTGTCTGCATTTTAGTTTTCTATAACTAAGTTTTATTTATTTAATATCCAAGTGAATGATTTCAGCATGTGTTATTTGTCATAAACAATAATAGTGGTCACTATCGACACTAATATTCGTTTCATTGTGACAACACTTAATGGTGTATGCATTAATTTAATATTTATTGGATGCAGAGATTCAACTAACTATGAATGTACTATATAGTGTTTGTACATTCCGACCTGTCAAATACTGATGACAATAAGCTATGAATTAGGCGTCTTAAGAACAGTACAAACGTTTGGATGCACAAGCAGGAAACTAAGATCTGGAATACCTATAGTGATTATCATTAAGCTCTCGTACATATAGAATGGATATTTCGTTAGAAAAGAAAATAGATATTTGATGCTGAATATTACAATATTTCTTTCATCGTCTTGGGCGATATAGAAATTTATCATTCCATTTAGGACGTTTTACTTCCAAAACATGGGAGCATTTAACAAGACGACATGTTGATTGAGAATTCTTAGTGGAATCGTGATTAGAGTTATACACTAAAGCATAACACGTGTTCAGCGTTCTCTTATTTTCAACCATTGTCAAGCTAACTTCAATTTATAATGTAAAATCTTCTTACACTGAATGATTTGTAGGCAGACATTTATTGTCGTTAAAGCTCTTATTGTTATGTCCTAAGCCCCGTCTAATATCACGTGACAAAATCGTCAATCAGAGCACCGACTTATACTGCGGTGTGTGCCACTGATGTCTACAGATGTAAGTAGTATGCATCACCATTCGAAAATGAAATGCCCGGAGGCAGAAGTTTAAGAAGATCGAAGAAAAGAGGATGAGAACAAAGAATGATTGGTGTAGAAACAAAGTAACAATGAAGTCTGAGACAACTGATTGATATTCTGCAAATGAAGTATTTACTGTATGGTTCTCAGATTCTACTAAGACGTTTTGTAATTTTGTATTCAAATACGTTTGATTGTCCCTGCTGGTGTTCTCGTTCACTATAATACGAACTTGGCCCTGTGCCAAACCGATGACGCGTTATCCAGCACAAGCAGACTAGATTCAACTCTGAGTCCTTATTGGTCCTCTTTATAGTAGCTTCTCACCTAACATTGCCCGCTGAGTCCAGAAAGCAATCTCAGCTCCTACTGTATGAGTCATGTACAAGTTTTTGCACATGCAAACCAGATCGCATCATACCATCAAATAGAAAATAACAATCATACATGATCGAGCGAAAACTGACTATGAATGTGAGATACTGTAACTAATAAATCGGAACTAAATTGGGGATCGTAAATTATCTCAATAGCCAATAGGTCAAATGAAAGTTTATAATATATGTATATAGTTCCCAGAATTTACCTATAATTTAATCTTCTTCGGACACAATATTTTTCACTTGTGGAATAAGTCCTATCCGAAATTCCCGATTTTTTAAAAGAGCTTATAGCTTTTGATCGATTACGAACATTTATACGCTTCTGACGATCGAACCGTGGGCAATACGACTATAACTAAAGTTTTAATTTATGATTTTTATTCAATGTAACTTTCACTCAGGAATGATTGCTGCTACTAAAAAAGGATTATATTACCTTTTGGATAAGAATAGTTGCAAACAGACAGGGAATTTCGTCGTTGTCGTTCTTGGTGGGGCTTCCGAAGCCTTAGATTCAAGACCTGGAACATATGTGATGCACATTAATCAACGTTTTGGTTTTTTCAAGTTGGCCTTACAAACTGGGTAGGTTTTGCATGAAATGTAATCATTTTCTTCAACACTGCATAAATTTTTAACGAACAAATTTTTATTGACATGATAATGCAGAAAGTGAAATAACTATTGAATGATATTTATCATTAAATTCACTTGGTGTTGCTTACTTGTTACTTTCCATTGTTATTTAGGACTGCAATTGATCAGTCTCTTATTGGCATATGTGCATACTGTGCGAACTGCCTCAATATTGCTTGAAGTCACAAGCTTCATATACAAAGATGTATAGTGGCTAGCAGTGGAATTCAGGACGCGCGTTTCGTCCTATTTGAGACTCATCAGCTCGATGAACCTGCATCTCAGAGTTAATGAGAAGATACAATTTAACAATATCAAGTGAACTTGCAACTTACCCCCATTGCACAAGAAGGTGGTTATTAGGAGTCAGCAGCTAAGTAGATAACGCAATGGCGTTTGAAGCGAACAATACTGGGTTTGAGTCCCAGAGTGAACATCATTTCTGAGATGGAGGTACATCCAGCTGGCATGCCCCAAATAGGACGAAACAAGCGTTTTGGATTTCTCATTAAATATCTAAAATAGAGGTATGATACTGTAAAATCATCTTGGCCTTATAAAGTGACTATGCCCTGAACTTTCTGGAATATTTAGCTTAATGAATCACTTAGTAAATCACTTTAAAACCCACAACCGTCAGACATGCTATTTGGAAATTATGATTTACCTATTTAGATTATGTTTTACTACATCAGATGAGTGAATTGGAAAGAGCAAAAATTTTCGAGATGAACCTTTTCATTTCTATTATCAAATGTATTGTACCTGCTAAAACATGGAGATATATGAAAACTATTAGTTTATACCTTCAAAGATGATTATTTATCAAACTATGGCTCTTTATTTTTTTTACAAACGTGTGAATAACTAATATTATTATATTCAATAGGCTAATTACAAATAAGTAAGTTCTACACTTATTACTAATTAATTAAAGTTGTGATTAACTGTTGATGAACATAGGTTGATGGAACCACTAGTTTAAATGAAGTTTATAAAATCTATTCTTTGTATATAGTTATAATTTTATTAGTTAATCAGCTATTTTTCATTATTTCAAATAATTCATATAACTAATTATTAAATAAATGAATTACTTGTATGACAATATGTGGGATGATTTGACTATGAAAATGTAAAGTAATTGAAATGTATTTTCCAGTTGAGAATACAAGCAAGCAAATATAAGCTCCCAAGTTCATTCAGTGCAACTATGCCATGTACTAACATATATTACTTGTACTGATAAAACCTTCATCAGTTGTCATTAATTCGTTCCCTAGATTGCCTCATGATAAGACAAAAAAATCTGCATTGTTTTGATTAATTTTTCACTTGACAAATAATAAACATACAAATAAATTACAGTATCCTCATTCACATTTGTACTTTAAATTTGTTATTGTAATTTAGAGTACATATACAATGAAATTGATCTAATTAAGTTGGATTATTTTTATGATCATATGGTAGTCAATGACTTACTCTAGTTTTAAATGTCCAATTTATCAATAATTAGTAATTGTTGTGTCTACAAAACCAGGTACAGCTAATAACAAATGTGAGTATCTCGTTTACTGAATACTGATGAACGTCAAGAAGAAACTACCAACTAATTTGTAAATATTTATGATCAAATCATTTGTAGACTGACTAGAATTACATTGTCAGTGATATTTAGTGACTTAAATTGATTATAACATTTTAGGCTGTTAGGTGATATGGTAAAAGTTCAATCAATCAAAATTTCAGATAATATTGCTATATATTCTGAATCATTTTATAGGATACTTTATTCTTTTATTGAATAAAATGGTATTAATAACTTAACCACCTTCCAATTATGATTTTAAACTAATTAAAATGTATATAAGTAGTTTGATATTTGTTAGATAATTGTTTTTCTCAGTCACAGATAATTTATTATCTTCTTATATTCCTATGAAATTCATCAGATAAATACCACTAGAGGAACAATCTCATTATTTTTCCATTCATACTAATCATTATAACCATTATAATCTACTCAATTATATCAAACAAACATTGGCTATGTATATGATTTCAACCTAAAATTAAAAAAAATAATTTACAAAATATCGGTTACTTATAAACTTTTTAAGAATGTAAAACAAATAAATATTCTATATACTATAATAACAGCAAACATTAAAATGGTGATTAACTACCTCCAACCACCATCTTATCTCAACATAGTGCATGCAATGTCGAGTCACCTAGACTGCTGGTCACATTGCAACTTGGTCGATAGCATTCGATCTGCACTAAGGATTTGACACATATGACACTGATCACCACCCAGTAATCAATCAATTGTAAATAACAGCAAACATTGTAAAGTCTGAAAACTGTAAGCACTAAAGTTGGAATTAAATAATCTAAGTAATATTAATAGGCAGTTGGGTAAGAACTCTTGGCTTCTAATATGGATGGAGGAATTCTGCTTTAGACAGGAAATAAATTAATTGTTTACATAGCTGTTATTTTGAAAGTTTGTTGAAAGAAAGCATATTATTTGGTAATATATTTCATACAAATTTCCGACTGAATACATTTTAACTTGTAAATCTACACAATCCTATTTCTGAGTTTTTGTAATCCCTTATCTCTATAACTTACTGTGGGTCAGAAATAACCTTCAAAGTCCTGAAAATCTAACTATTTGATTGTTCTTCAGCACTTGAAATTACAAGACAAGCACAAAATAATTAAGTTTCTACCATTTGCTTGATGTATTCGACATAATCTAATTTATGCTGAACTATTCTTATTTTAATTGAAGATCATATTTGGTACCGTGTATATCATTTGGTGAACAAAGCTTATATCATCAAGTTCCAAATGAAAAAGGATCATGGATACGATGGCTACAGGATAAATTTACGTCGATTTCTACCGTTGCACTGCCTATTTTCTATGCTCGTGGTCCCTTTCCGTATCGTAAACCAGTTTATACTGTAGGTATGTTAATAATTACATTGAAGAGTTGCAGTTTCCGGCTCTTGTAGGTGATCATTCACAAATTGTTAAAATTTGAATACTGACTACTTAGTGAATGATTCTTTAAGAAATGTTTCTTTTTTACACTCGATACATGGAGGAATTTCATGAAGTTCAATCGTTACGTTTTATGAGAACCCAATTTTTAACAACCATTTTCAAAAGTATATGGAATCGTATTTCTTGATTGCTAACCAGTCTTTAATAGCACATGAGCAACTCTTATAGTTCCCTTAATATCATCTGAATTCATATGTTGGTTAGCAGTTCAGAAGCAGCTACCACTGAAGTCCATGACTGGTGTCGTGTGTTTAACACTATGGGGTTTGAATCTACGGGCACTAAGTTTGTATCCTAGTAGATATTGATGTGGAAGTGAATCTAGCTTAGGAGTCCATATAAAATAAAACCTTTATCATGGATTATAATGCTAACTACTATTTAATGCGAAATCGTTTTCAAATAAATAAAACCGCTTTACCTTTCAAAGTGAATCTGTGCAGACCACAGTCGCCATTGACTTACCTCGCAAAAAATCCATATTGTTTCTTTCAATTATTTTGTAAACATGTCGGGCATACGTGACCGTTTACAGCTACTCTTATCAGTCAGCAAATTAAGTACAAAACTAATTTGGATAGGTAATATTTCGAGACACTTTAGCTTAATTAAACTATAGTGTCTGGAACTAAAGGCTACATTAAAAAAAACATCAGTGAAGGTACATATTGTCGTAAATTCAACCAGGTCAGTTTTTATAACTAAACAAGAATGTGTAGCTGAAAGTTCTACCGATTTCAGAAAATAACCTTTCACTATCATGTTATATCTTAAAAAAACACTTTTTTCTCACAGTTGGTGCTCCAATTCAATGCGAAAAAATAAATGAACCCACAGACGAACAGGTCGCACATATTAAACAAATTTATATAGAAAAGCTCCAAACACTATTTGAAGATTACAAGGTAATTTATGATCCAGAAGCTAATGATATTGAATTTGTATAAATGAAAAACTTATGTATTTTTGATTCATTTATCAAACTATCGTAATCATGTATTGAAGCATTGAATGGAAAAAGTTAAGAATCACTATTTGTTGAATAGTACATTTTTAAAGATCACGATTGAATTGTATCTTTATTGGAAATTTTCTCTTAGTTAACTACAATACTTACTAAAAGTGTTTATCATCTTTTAAAATCGTAGTAGAGGAAATGTTACATAGACAAAATAGCCACTTTATAAAATATTGGGAAGCTCATCTATATTATATGTGTTTCAAGTACTATTGTTTCTCTACGCCAACCAATAATAACAATGATTATCTTTCACATATTTTTTATTATCATACAAATTCATTACAATACTTCCTTCATGATCGTAATAGTCATGATATAAGTGATTTATTTTACACACTCAATTGGTGTTATGCAAACAGCATAAACGTTACATTTTAATCTTATGACTAGGACAGAGATTAAATGGCGAGAAGACAATAAGATAAACCTAAATTGCATAACTTCAATTTCTAGTCACAGTACTCACAAATGAAAACTAACTAAATGAAAGAAAATTTAACTTTTTAACTGCATTCGTCAGAAATAATTACGACAAATTAAAAATCATTCCTCCAGCTAATCAAATAATATTCAAATCAGGATGAATAGATTTTTGAACATCATGGTACGACCGAAATAATGTCAATTAACCAATCTTTAATAAGTTTTATTCCATAAAGTGGTCAATAATCATATTTCAAACGATACTGTAGATAATTTCACTTATTATTGTTTAAATGAATCTTCCAATTGATGTTTAGGATTGCGATTGGTCATCTCTTATTGGCATATGTGCATACTCTGCGTATTGCCTCGATATTGTTTTAATTCACAAGCATTATAAGCAGAGATGTATAGTGGCTAGCAATGGAATCCAGGACGCGTGTTTCATTCTATTCGGGACTGTAGATAGAAAATTTTCCATGACTCCAATTACAGGACTGAGAAACTATTCAAAAATTTAGACAGATTTAACAATCATATAAAATATTTGATGATAAACAAAACAAAAATGCATCAAAAACCTTCAACTTAACGGAAGTCGACAGCAAAAGTCATAAGGCAGAAATAACAGCCTTCATCACACTATATATCCTGGGTTTTTTCTGGCAGATACATCTTTATTGCGTTTATTCAAGAATTAAGTTTTTTCCATTACATCGTATTTATTCCGTACTTTGGTTTTGGCATATGTCTTGATTAATTTCCCTTTTTTACGTAGGCAATTTGTAATAAAAGCTATGAGAATAGCAATAATTTTTTTGTAACTCATTGGACATAAATAGTAGATAAACTTGACTCGATGTATTTTTGTGGTCAGTGTGTCTTGCCAGTGTACAGTCTCAAGTTCGTTTTGTTTCATTATCTGAGAAATAGAATTTACCTACTTCATGCCTTATAGTAAAGTCTATATCATTGTGTGCTTTGTTAAAAAGATTGAGTAAGTGCATAGAATGCGTATGTTTGTTGCAGACGAGAAATGTGTCATTAATATATCCACAAGAGAGTGCAGTTGCTTCAACCGCATGTTTAATCTTTGTTTGTCCCAGGTTCTCCATAAATATATAATCTAAAAATGATCCCGGAGGGCTATTTATTGCTAATACATCAGTTTAGCGGTGCAACACACTGTTGAAATGAAAATGTGTATTTATGGTTCATAAGAACAGAAGCTGTTTGAATTGATTGATATAAAAAGCAAGCAGTTCAGATGCTTATCTATAATATCAGTAGTTTCTTACAAGGGAATTTTTGTGAAGGTAGATGAGACGTCAAACTGTACCATGAATTTATTGGAAACATTCAAATTATCAAGCTGTTGTGCGAATTCGAAACTTTCAGACTGTAGGGAGCTATTTTCTTACGAACTGGTTCTAAACACCTTGTCAACCAGCGGGCGAGTTTGTGGAAACGTGATTCGATCATAGATAATATTGGCCTCATGGGGATGTTTGAAATATATTTTAGGTAAATCGTTTAAATGAGGTAATTGTTATCCTTTCGGTTTGAGTTCATTGTATGTAGGATTATCGATTAAATTCTCCAAATATTCTCTCGACTCTTTTAAAGATGCCAGTCTCATCCGTCAGGTCTTTTTGAGTATTGTCGATGATAAATCTCTTGGATTCATTTAAAATGGACATTACATTGCTATTGTATTCGTCTCTGTTTAGGATAATTACACTGGAATCCTTGCTTGATCGAATTAACATTAGTATTTTGCACTTCATAAGTTTTCCCAATGCTTGATGACGGACTTTAGTCAACACTTAGACTGTATAACTGGTGTTGTAATGTACTGATTTGTAATATTCACTAATTTCCATTTCAACCAACTTTGTATTTCATCATTCATAGGTTTTAGGTCTGATATAAATACTGTTGATATAAATACTGAAATTGAGTTTCAGTTTCGATTCTGTTACATTTTTTCCAGAATATTAAATTTAAATCCGAGGGAGAATTTCTGTTACAATTAAACCTAATTTTTTAGTCGATAAATTCTGCATACATTTTTCCGGATTAATAGGAAAGACGTTATGATTTTGTTCTTTTACATGTGTTCTGGTTAATATCTTTAAAAACTCAAAAGCCCATTATTATAATTTAACGTACAATATTTAAATCCGTAACAATTTTATAAAAAACAAAGGGATTCTGTTTTGAGTTTAGAGATAAGTACCTTAGTATATTCGATTTGAGAATTTGTGATACGTCGTAGATTTTTCAATGAAGGAGGTATTTTACGTGCACGTACAACTTTTAAAAAATTGGCGAAGGAAGCAGCCATCATTCAAGCACTGTTCAAAAACTTAAATCTCGTTGTTTCCTCCGATATCCTTCGGTAGATTGTCACCAAACGCTTGAAAGACATAAAAACTGAACAAGGGAGCGACTCTACGGAAATTCCAAGCAGATGGTTACCATTATGAATTTGAAATAGACGAGAACGACGATTGAGACAAAATAATATGGATTTGTTGTATTTCGTGATTTCCCACTAGCTGCATACAACAATATATATAATGAAATATGAAACTGAGATAAGATTTAATGTGAAACAACTGAAATTGATGCACGCAATGATTAGAAATCATAAAAAGAACCAGTTGCGTGAAATTCTACACAGAAATACAGAAATTCCAAGTCACTATAATAATCAAAAAACAGATGAGTACCGATAAAAATTCAAAGGTCAATCACACAATAAGCCTACCTGCAAATACGTTAAATGCCAATATTATATTATACATTACAAAGGAACATAAAGCAAGACATGATGATGATAATTTGGGGGATGAGTTTACTCCACCATTGGGTTTCTCAATCTCCGTCAGTTAACCAACGCGTCGGTGTGAGCACACGATCACTCGATAAGCACAGTATATTTCCAGTGTGAGTTCATCTGAAATGTGTGAGGGTGTACATGTGTCGAAATCCCAACAGTACATATTGACGTGGATGTCACAATTGTATCGAAAGTGATGTCCGATCAAAATGAAATTTACGAAGGTGATCTCAGTAAAGATGCCGATCTGTTGTCGATGATACACACATCAGAATAAACATGTTTGTGAGTGAGTGAGTGAGTGAGTGAGTGATTGATTGAATGAATGAATGCACAGTGTATACATCTGTAGTGGCTTAGCTTCGTTAATCAATCAACTTGATAACCGTTATAATATAAATCCCACGGTGTTTGAAATCAGAAGACAATGAGAAGCGGCGACTACAGTTTATTTGCGGATAGCACAGATAACAAAGCTACAAGTACATCATAGTGAAATCGAATAAGGCACAGCTAGGCAAGGCAAAGGCTAATAATAGGATTCGATTACATATATACATGCAGAGGAGAACGATTCATCCGGCGATATTTAAGCTATCAACATTTAACCTAGAGAGAGATATGTACGTAGGCTGTCATCTGATCAACAGTACACGTTTATACAGACAAGATAGAGATGATGATGATAATAGTACAGAGAAATAGACGAATTGTTACTGTTCGAATAAGATAGTCTGTTAAGTAAGTTAATAAAAGGGCTTAACCCAAATTAACCATAATCGGGATTGATTGTAGGAGAGTTGCTGCACATCTGTACATATGTAAATATATTTTAATATCAATATGCAATTGAAACCTGTACATGTGGAAACATCGATAGTGTATTGTGTGATTGACTATTGCAATTGTCGTCGGTACTCGTCCGACGGATGAGATTGATATTGACGGTGAGTGAGTGTGCATGATATTGGGTCGATAGAGTTGTTTGTTGGTTTTATTAGTATATTGTGTGTTATAATGTGATTGATTGTGGAAAAGTGAAGGGGGCACCCGGGTTCGAACCGGGGACCTCTCGATCTGCAGTCGAATGCTCTACCACTGAGCTATACCCCCGATTTTGCGACTGTCACAACTTCACTACCCGAACACAACACCACACCACGTTCAACTATAAACACTACAATCAACGCACAACACCACCATCACCACAATCCCAACAAACATCCACACACAAACACTCACACGCACGCTTCGCCTGCACATGCGAACAATCTACCACAAAAACACGAAACACCAACATCAACATCAACATCAACATCATCATCATCATCATCAACAACAACAATAACAACAATAACAACAACAGCAAAATCATCATTAACAAGAACACGCACATTCACACTGCCAACAAACAAGTCAATGAAGGTGTCGCGATGCAAATCCATGATGCGCATTCATACGCTCTCTGGACAAACGGAGTGCTCTCATCAAAGCCGACTGAACACAAACATCTGGTAGTCGGTGTTAGAGGCATGTGATTCCTCGAAGTCGGTCGAGACCTACAACAGTGTGTGAGGTCGCGAGTCGATCACCAAAAACACAATATCACATGATCGTCTCATCAACACATGTTTGGGTGTGATTGCGGGTGAGCGCGT